GGTCGTCAGTCACACACACAGTGTAACCTGCTAGCCTTTTCTTTTGGGGACAAATACACACCTTCAGTCTGACGATCTGTACAACCTGTCTCATGTAACACCACCATGAGCGCACACACAGGGTTCTACTGAATCAATGTCTGACTGATTTAACCAGCCCCTTACTGATGGGCAATCAGGTTGATTCTATTTTTTTTACATAAGAAACACAACTTTGATGAATATCCTTGGTCAGTCGTGTTTCTTCACACACGTGCCGTGGAGAGATGCTTTCGCCATTACTCTCTTTATTCGTGTGAGCCTGGGAGGGTGGGCGGAGATCTCTGCACACACGGGGAAATCTCCACGGGTTAGCGCCCTCCGGGGTGAGCCCCATTCTTGCTGTTCTACAGCCACCGCCACCGGGGATCTGACCGCCTCAGGCCGAGCCCTCCCCGGCCTGCCCTCCCCCGGCTGCAGGACGCCCACCGGGGGGCTGAGAACACAGAGGGGAGGGGCCCGGCCTCTCCTCACCAGCAACATTTGCAGGTCTGCACAAAGCCTTGGGGCACTCGGGGCCCCCCAGGCCGACGCACGGACAGGTGTGAGCACAGCCACCGCCCCCCCCCCCATTACGGCGGAGATTCTGACTGTATGCGAGGCGGTTTTACTCCCCAAAGAGGCACATCCACAAGGACGGAACAGAATCCTGCGATGAGCTGGGCTCAGCAAGTCTCCGTCGGCAGGGCCCCGGGCAGGAGCTGCGGCCAGCAGGCAGAGTGGGGGCGCAGCATGCCGTGCTGGGTCAGAGTGCTGAGCATGGCCCCCACGCCCCAGCTCGCTCTGTCGCGTTTGCTATCCCTGGCCCTTTCTTCTTGGAAGGGGTGCTCTGAGCTGTCCTTGTCTCAGCCATGGAGCCAGCGATGGGACGCTGGAGTGTCCGCAGCGCTGGCAGCATGGTGTTTGAGGCAGGCACTGCCAGCCCCTTTTAAATTTAGGGGAACTGAGTTCTGGGGAGGATGGGTCCTATGTTTGAGCTCACGCTGCTCACAGCGGGGGGGGGTGCTTTAAACCCAAGTTTGGCTGAATCTGAGGCTCAGTTTCTTCTCTCCCCCCCTGGGTGAGACCCCTCCCCTCTGAAGGCCCCTCAGAGGCCTGGGGAATGTCCCTAAACTGCAGAGCCGTCCCCCAGGGCCGGGGCCCGAACCTGCCTGCTGAGGACACTGAATACATGCGCCCATGAAGCCAAGAGTCTCAGATGTGTCGCCACCCTCCTCGTAGCTATGGCAACCCAAACATGCAGAGGCAGTGCTTTTCGCACAGTATCACATGTTGCTTCATGTTTGGACACTGATATTTTCTCCAGCTGGGTTTTTCTTAATTTAAGTCAACAAACCAATCTGGAAGCAAACACACTATTTGTGTTTGGGAACCAAACAAAAGTGGTAAGTAATGGGAAGACTTAAAAAAAATCTCCGGTGTGTGTGTGCGGGGATGACTGACTGCTGAGAGACAGGGAGAAGAGGCCAGGCTCGCCAGGCTCGCCAGGCCCTCCGCTCCGTCCCTCAGACCCCCGCCCCGGGCCTGGCCCATCGCCACCCAGAGAAACGCACAGACAGCGGAAACACCGCTCAGAGCGTTGCAGGGACCACCGTGGAGGCAGCCGGGGGAGCCATGTCAGGGTCTGTAGTCGCAGGTCCTCCTGTGGTCCGCGTCCTGCCACATCGAAGAACATGACAGTGACCACCTGGCCAATTCCGTCCTGCATCCTCAGACCACAGCAACACCTGCTCCCTGAAAGTGCCACCACCTATGTCCACAAACGGCGCCGTCACCAAGACCCACTAGTAACCCAGACGGCAACTCGAAAACATGGCATTCAGTGGGAGGGTCCTTGAAGGCGCCCAACACCACCAAAGCCACATTTCCCAGGATCGATCTTAACTACTGTCCATGTGGAATTTTTCTTATGGCTTTTTTCGATAAAAAAAGCATTAATGAGAAACTTTAAAGGCTTTCTAATGACGTCCTTTCATCAATCGAGGTGCCGTCGGGCCAGGCTCTGCCTCGGTGTGCACCTCCAAGTTCTCATGCACCCGCCTGCCCAGATCCTATCGGAGCCGACCGCGTGATGGAGACCAGACGCCCTCCATCTGTCGGCAGCTGGAGCCACAGGGTCCGGGGACTCTGGGCGGCTGCCCTCAGTCACTTCGGGAGGTGTTGGTGCCTGCAGTTTCTCCAGCTCTGAGACTGGCTTTCAGCTGCCACCTCCATTCCTTCAGACAGACAGACAGACAGACGGGCTGCTTGGCAGAGTTCCGTTTAAATCTTAATGTCTTTCAAACTGGTAACAGATAAAATTGATGTGAACTTCAGCTTCCTAAACACAAACTTTCAATCAAACGCCCATGAACAAGCAAGAAAAAAAGACCCCGGATGGGCCGAGGGAGGCCAAACAGTTAAGACCCCACCGAGGGCCTCCAACTGCCCTCTCTCCATGACCCCACTGGCAGGAGGGCAGCAAGCAAACACACATGCAAGTGACACGCAGAGGCCCAAACAAGTCTCGGCGCTCAGAGACCATGGGGGAAGGCTGAGTTTCCTGATTGGTCTTCGGGGAAAATCTTTTGAGTTAAAGAAAACAAATTCTTTCTTTGTTTTTTTTTCTGTGTGTCCCATATTAAGCCTATTTATTTATCACTTCAGAGTCTTCCTATGGGCAGCTTGAAGCCAAAATAGCACTGAGATCTTTGGCAAGCTCTGAAGTGAAATGAACAATTTTCACATTGATAGAGCTGTGACATCCCGCCTGTTCCAATGGTGGCAGAGGTTCGAGCTGGCACTGCCGCCTGTGGTCACAGCTGCAGGTGTGCCAACAGCCAAGGTGGGGCATTTGGGTGCCTAGGAGAGGGGATGGGACATGGTCAACAGTGCCCGTATGTCCTGCGTGGGCCATGTCAGGGATGACAGTGACATCTGTGAATGCATTCCTGCAAGAATTCCGGTGAGTCCCTCAGAGACGTCACCTATGCTCTGGGCCCTCCGCGCATCGCACCGCCGTGATGTCTGGAAGGCGCCTCCCTGTACAGGTTATTATTCTGCAGTTTTCAAGGAAGTAAGTTCTGGAATTGCACTGTCGTCCACAAGCTGGAGGTGCCTGGCCTCTCGAAAAAGCAGATGCTGAGAGCGAACAGCATGTAGCGAGTGGAGAGCCTGGAAGAAAATGCGTCCCCTCAGCGTTTCAGTCGGACACAGCGACTTCAATCTCTAGTCAATTATCAAGTCACACGAGGGTTGTTCAGTAGCCATTCTGCTGGGTAAGAAGTGGACACGAGTTAAAAACCCCAGGTGAGTTGCTTATAGGGTGAGGCCGTTCACGTCTCACAATTACGCCTCGTCGGCCACCCGAGTCCCGCAACCCCCACAAGCCTTCCTCCAGGTTCCAAAACCGGCCTTGCCCACGCCCAGACGGCCCACGTTTGCACAGTCACAGTATTTCTTCTTCGGACAAGAAGGTGTCAGGCAGGTGCTGTGGTTTCATCACTGGATGCAGCCACAGGACATGGCAAGCAAGGGGGCTTGTTTGACACCTTTGCTCCTGGAGGGGAGAAGGGGTGAGGAAGAACACGCTGACCCTGGAGAAAACTCAGCCTCCTGCAGGGCCGAGGGCATCTATTTCATTGTAAGTGCTTCCACAGAAACAAATATTATTTCTGACTCTTTCATTATCTGGGTTTCTGGAAATGGGTGAGAACAGCGTGTGCTGGCTGAGTGGCTGCACGCAGCCAGCTGTCATGCCGCCCGCGGGTCCCCGTGTCAGCGTTCAAAGCTCCACACGCCGGCTGGATGGGGAAACCCGATCGGTAAGGAGGACCTGGGGCCGAGGCCAAAGAACACAGCTCTCTCGTGTCGACATTCTTTTATTTGGAAAATATTTTTGTATTTCTTTGTGCCTTTCCTTTTCCTCTCTATTTTCATAAGCCGTGCTGCAACCCTGAGGAGCGGCAGCGACTCGGGCGACCTGCGCTGGCTTTTCATGTCGGCCTCTGCAGAGCTTGCCCTTGGAGCGGTACATGGCCACTCCGGTTTGAGCCGGGCTGCTGCCTCTGTCAGCGGGAACCTCGGGGCATATATCAAGCCTGTTCTGACAGGGCCGAGGGAGCCCTGGGAGACAGCACACAGAACACGGTTTGTACTGCACCAAGGGCACGGCCCAAACAGGCAGTGCCAGGCATGTAGAGCTGCAGGGTCACCCCGGGTGGCTTTGATGGGAGGGTCCCTGGCTGCACGTGGCTGCACGTGTGGCTGTTCAGCCCAGGCCCCTTCCTCAGAGCCTGCCTGGGGACCGCGGATGACAGTGGGAGGCTCCCTTGCAGAAGGGACCCACAATCTCCTGGCCCAGGAGGTGGCCTGTGTGCAGAGCATGGGGCATTATGGGACATTTGGCATATCGTCGGGGTCTGACAGTGTCACAGAGAGGCCCCCTGACCTGCCGGCAGCCCCGATGGCACACGGGTCTCTGAGGGACTGTCCCAGAGCCCACCTGAGAATCCCCTCCTGCTGCCCACTTCCGAATCCATCCTTCAGCAGCAGTGGTGCCTGGGGTCTCCCAACCACAGCCTAGTACACTGCTATGGTGCCCTCTATTGGAAAGCGCTCAGACGAACCCCGCTTCCAGGCCAGCGAGGCCGAATGCTGCTCCAAGAACCAGTTCAGGGCAGAGGGGGCTCTTGGGGGCTGTAATGGCCGCAGCAAAGCCTTTTCCTTGGAGAGCTTGGAACACAACCAACTTCACGACCCCCAGATGCGAAGTGCACCCCAGACCCTCCCATTCATCTTCCCAATGTGTCAGAAACAGAAACGGGCCCCTCTTGCTGTCACAGTGAGACGCCCGAGAGAGGGAGCTTCTGATTCAGAAGCGCGCCTGGGGCATGTAGTGTTTGCAGCCCTGCCAGACTCCATGGAGCCGGGGGGCTCAGGGGTCTGCACCCCTTCCCCGCCAACCAGGCATCTGTGCGCCCACTGCAGGAATATGACTTAGCTCGCTTCGCAACGAAAGCACTGAGAAGCCGCCAGGTCAGAAGATGATGGGAATGCTCCTATCGGTTTATTTTCAAGGGGAAGAAAATCCCGAGTTAATCTGGTAGATGGAAGAAAAGGGTACGATAAATCTTAAGTTGGTGAGGAAAGCCTAAAGTTTGTTTATGTTGGGTACCTGTTCTTTCGTCGGTGTTGAGGTAACGTGAAATATAAAGCACACCCGACCCGTACGCACTGTAAGGCTGTATTTTTATCTAGGGTTCTGGTGACACATACAAACCACTTGAGTTTCTCTTCCGTGGTTTATACTGTCACAGGAACCCTTGACAAAAATACAGCTTTCTATTGCACAGCTGGGTCTAGTTTATTTTCTCCATATATCATAGGCTCTATTTTATTTATCCACACGCATAGCTACAAGTTTCCCCTCTGCTTTCAGACACAGTTAATTATACAGCTAAGATGACAACATGATAATGAAGGATCAGACTGTGGGGCACGGATGCTGGAAACCTCCCCGCCGCCACTGAGACATGAACTGACCCACCTGCGTATGTCACCTCTTTTAGGCTCGACCTTGGGGTGCTGGGATGGGGACGCTGGGGACCCTCATCATCTTCTATTCAGAGTGCGCCAAGGCCGGCAGCGGCCCGAGAGGGGCTGGGGCGACACCATCCCTCAGACAAGCACTCCTTCCACCACACCCACGCCCAGAGAGTGGCCTGTTTTTCCCATTTTGCAAGTCGTTATTTTCTATTCCATCGATACAGATAAAAAATGGAGGTGTCTTGCACGAGCTTTTCTGGCAGCTGGAAAACCGCTGTGAGCACCCATTTCCACGGCTGTCCCCCTTCCTTCATCAAGGCGTGAGGGCGAGCCATGGACGCAGCAGCTTTGACCGCCGGGAGGGAAGGGAAGGCAGGGGACTGGCTGGGGTGGCCCGCTTCGGGGACACACGGCTGCAGCCTGGGCAGAATGCGGGTGGCCAGCGGCCTGCAGCTGGCTCTGGGCGCAGGCGCGGTGTCCGAGGAGCCAGCTGCTCCCCTTCCAGGGTGGTCACCCCCACAGGCCCAGACCGCCCACTCGCTCATCCGTTTTAACAGACGTTAGAAGTGGACCCACACAGTGTGAGAGAAGGGGACACACGACACGCACGCCGGCCGGCCTTCTGGACTCGCGCTGCTGCAACACGGAGCAACAAGAAAGGGCAGGCACACACGTCCCCTAGGACACAGTGGGCCTTTTAATACACCAGCGCCGCTGCACAGCCACTTCCGGCGTGCCATTCAGTTTACGTGTCGCTCACACAGCCACTCCTACCACGCACGCTCAATTCTGCTGGCCGGCTGGAGCTTCTGGCTGGACGGGAGCCCCCTCCGTGGCCGGCTTCCACGCCTGGCTGCCCTCGTGGGCCAGAAGCCACCTCTTTACGGCCACTCCACCTGAGTAGTTGCCGATGGCTCCAGTGCTGAGGACCACTCGATGGCACGGGATGAGGATGGGGACCTGGAAAACAGGGAGGCAGCCCCATCAGCAGGGGCTTGGGGGCAGTGAGGTCTTCAGGGGTCAAGAGCTGGACCCCTGAGCACCCTGATCCGGGGCCGCCTCGCAGGGGCTCATCCTCCAGCAGGTGGGGCAGCTGGGCGGGGAGGCAGGCCCCGAGGCGGTCCTGTCTCAGCGGCTCCCCCCACGTCTCTGAGGCTCTCCGCAGGCCAGGGAGGGACACGATGCCCCCACGTGACTGCAGCGTCTTCCAGCGAATCCCTTTGCAGCAAGATTTGGGAGGAGAACATTGAATTTCATTTGGTAAGTGATGTATAATGTGAACTTACAAAATTTCAAATTAAATTTCCGAGTTCTGGGGTGGCAGGTCAAGTTCTCCAACATCTCTGAGAGAGAACAGGAGACTTCGGGGGGCACTGTACTCACGCAGGCCACTTGAACCCAGGGGTTGGCAGATTGGCTATGGGTGGAGGCCACACCCGTTTTTGTAAATAAAGATTCATTGGCACAGCCACACCCACTTGGTAGATATTGTCCGGCTGCTTTTGCAAAGCCTAAAACATTTACTCTCTGGAGCTTTACAGGAAAGGTTTGCTGAGGCTGCATTACACCACCCACGCCTTGGGGATATCTGTGTCCCCTTCTCTGTCTCTGGACACTCAAAGTTTGAGAAGCTCCAGCTCCCACCCCCTTCCCACTTGAGGAGCTGACTTGCCCTCCCCCCCCAAACCTGGGCACTTCCACTGACCGCTCCCATAGGTGCCGGCCCACCCCTAGGCTGCTTGTGGTGCTCCCACCCCAGTGGCTTCTGAGACACGGCCAGTGCCTGCCCCTGCTGGGGCTGGTGACAGGATAGGGGTCTAATTCCAGCAGGAATTCCTGGGAAGCCCACCACAGCCATGCCACCTGGGTAGTATAGTTTTTCTATCCTAAAAACACTAATGTCTTGAAGTCCTCTATCCATTTCTCAGTTGGCTCAGACACAGAAGGAAAGGAAAGGGGCGTAATTTGTGGTCCCTTAAAAAAACCACAGTGGATGGAGTCACCTCGAGTGGTTGACTCCTCTCCCTGAGCAGCCTGTGGACACAGCTTTGAGCATGCCCAGTGTGCCGGGGTGGCCACACAGCAGGGGGCTGCCACACACAAGGGCCACCGTGTGACCCTCTGCAGGGCTCTGGGAATCAGCAGGTGCTTGCTTCGAGATCCCAGCAAGCAGTTCGGTGTGCCCACTCTGTGTCCCACAGGGCGCGTCATGACATCATATCCTCCAACAAGCCCCAGGCCAGGTACTGTCATCCTCGGGTCACATTAAGTCTCTTGTCCAAGTTTACGTGGCTGTTTAGAGGCAAAGAAGAATCCCTTCCAGCCCGGCAGAGGAGGAGTCCAATCCTTACACCCTCGGACGCCCCGGAGGGCACTGCTGAGGTGGGGCCTGGGGGCCGGGCAGCGGGAACCCGACTCCCCCAACATCACACACCAGCCCCGATTCCCACCAGAAGTTTGGGTTGCCATGGTAACGTGTGCAGTCTCAGGGCCTTCTAAGCCGACCAGCACAGTGAGGGTGAGAGCTGATTTCCTGTTCAGAGCAGTTTAACAGAGTGAAAAGCAGTCACAGTGCCAAGTCCTGCAAACAGCATAAATCCCCTTCTTCTTGGAAGGTGCAGCAGAAAATTTTAAGAATGGAATATTTACTTGGATTGAGGTTTTTTTTTTTAATCAGATACCATAGTCACAGTAATAAGTGCTGTGAGGACATGATTATCAAATAATCTACAATTCAACTGTTGACTGATACAGAGGTATGCGTTTAATTCAATTTAGTTTTGTAAACATTTAGGCCCCGGCTGCATTTTCCTACCTAACAGCAGATTTCACAGGTGACCTTTGGTTTTCTTCCTTCCCTCCCAACAAGCTATGAAATTACAAACGTGTGTGATATGAACCCCGCCCCCATGTACAGGAGAAGGCAGGACTGCTGGGCAGGGCAGCAGGTATAATTCTAGTGGGGGCCAGGCTTCAGCGTTCGCATGCAGTGATGGAGAACAGGTGCTGTTTCCGCCACTTGCAGATGGGGCATGCTGCCTCTGTTTCCGTTCATTTTGGTGGCAGGTTTCACACGATTAAAATAATGAAACCTGCTAAAATTTATTGGGGCCCTCAGGACATTTCCAAGGAGCTGCGTGCTCTCCATGCCCCGTCTTTTAACGCCTGTGCTGCATAAGATGTAATTTTTATCAATAACCAAGCAGCTCATAATATCACAGCTGCATTGAAATCTTCATGCTGTGAAATCTAATTCATCCAATACGCGAATCCATCACTTACACAGACCCTTACTCAAATGCTATAAAACTTCCAAACCCATAGATTTGTCTCCAACAAAAATAACACGAAGGGGCCTTTCAATCAATAGTGGAATCCCTCTGATTCTGGCGCTGGCTGAGTATTTCTGCAGCTTCACCTTTGTTCTTGTGGTAGCAGCCCACAGGGGACGGGGCTTGTTTCACTCGCGGCCTCATCAATACCTAAATCCTGGTGAACAAGTGACACCGAGAAGCTGTAATCAATAGCTCCCTGTGCGTTTTTTTCTTCTGGTCAAATGGTTCAGCCCCACTGACAGCCCTGACACTTAGAACATGATGCTAAATCTTTATCAACAGCCATCTGGGTGAGTGGCAGAACAAGGCTCGGGGGTCATTAGCGCTCGTGGCAATCTGTGAATAAACTAACTCCTCCGGAATGCGTTTTGTTTAGAAAAAGGTGGGAAGCGCCCTGCGCAGCCGTATTGATTGCCTCTGAACCGCATTTAGCAAATTCTGTCTGAGGATGAGCGGACGGTGCTTTGTGGGGGAGGGAGGGCGGCGTCTTCAGTCTGGTCTACGGGAAAACTGTCCTCCACGCGGGGTCTGGGACAGAGACTTCCGGAAGGCTGCCAAGCTGTCTGCTCTGGGCTAGTGAGTTCTGCATGGAAAACTTTGGAAAAACCCAGTATCTGGATGGGATGAAACTCCCACACAGAGCCAACCATCCTCCGTCTGGCGGGGGAGGACAAAAGATGCCAGCAGCCCATGCTGAGATACGAACCAGCCTGTGTCTGTGTGTACGGAGGGCGGCCGAGGGAGTGAATGCCCAGGAGCTTGACGGTGTCTGCAACATGCCAAGTCTGTTTCTGCCCCCTCGCTGAAACGCACAACTGCTCTATTCAGCCTGAGCAGGTGTTTTCAACAAGCGTCTCCGTGCGGGAGCCCATGTGGGCGCTTCTGTGCCAAGGAGGAGAGACGCCCACATGGGACACTGGTCACGGCCCTGACATGAGCCCCTTCTCCCTCAGGTCTGGGTCACCTCCTGGATGGCCCAGCCTGTTCGAAGGAGTTTTTCGTGAACTTTATGGGAACTCTTCGAGGACTGCCATGCTCCCTGCTGTCACCTACACATCTGAAGCTTTCTCGCAGGAGCTCTGACTGTTGACATGCGGGCACCAGAATCGGAGGGATTGCTCAGATCCGGCAGCAGCTGGCACCTCTGCAATGTCCTCATCAGGCTGAGGGCCCCTGCGTGAGGTACACACAGTGCCCAGCTGCAGAGACAGGCCTGTGGAAAGGCCGCGAGGGGCTCACCACCACCCAGCTGCCTTTGCACAGAGAGAGGTGGGTGCCGAGAAGAGGGGGTGCCTGCTGAGTCTTCCTGCTGAGTCTGCCACCACCACTATCACCGCCGGGCTCAGCTTTGGCCAGCGGCGGGGAGGTCAGTAGGAGGGCTTCACGGGCATTAGAGTTTTAAGCCCTGCGAGAGCCTATTTTATAAATTTCAGTGACTGAGGCCATACTTGAACAGAGACACTCATAGAGATTAATAGCAGAGGAGCCAGTCACGCTGGTTGCAGGACAATAAATGTTCCTGAATATTGCCACCAGCGTGATCGCTGGTCGGCCACAGCGTCTCCACCAGAGAGAGGAAGTGTGGGCACTGCAGAGGCAGGTGAGGGGCTGCCCATTTGTATATGTCTGTTAGAGAGCTCGTTTCTCCAGCCAGAGGCGGGAGTCGGACACGGTGAGGGAGCAGGCCGTGTGGGTGGCAGCCTTCACGTGCATCCCAGGGGCGCCACACTGGACATCGGGGAGAGAGATGAGAATGAGCAACTCTACCCATGGGGCACGGACAGCAGAGGCAGCCTGGAACACGGATGGAGGTCTGGGACCAAGGGCGAATTTCTGTGGAACATGGTGACTGCAGAGATGCAGGAGGAGGGCGCGAAAGCCCTGTGAGCTTTCAACGCTCTTCTCACTGGGCACTCCATGGAGCTATGACCCCGAGTGTCCAAGTGGCCTTTTCATCCGGAGCAAAGTCAGACTGAGTCACAACGTGGGAGAAGACGGTGGCCTTCCAAAAGGAAGATACATGTAAGCTTTACTGGCAAACGTAAAAAATCATATTCAGAGACGATTCGGAGTCATTGCACACACGCGGTAAAAACGTGACCTGCAGTGCTCGGAGGGCATGCGCTCTAACGAGGCTGGGCGTGCTGCACGGAGACTCGACAGGTGCTCGTGACGTGCGAACTGGGCCGACCGGGCCTTGTCACTGAGAACTCAGGATGTGGAAAGACATGGCAGGTGGGTGTGATGCCTCCTCCGTATCATGTGCTGCGCCTGACATTCTGGGCGCTTTCATTGGCACTAAGCTTCCAGGTCAGACGGGCTTATTGAGAAGTTGCGATCTACTCACTATCAACAGGAGCTGCTTCTTGAAGAATAACAGTGCCGCGCGGTGCGGAAGCCTACGTGGCTGCCGCCTCCTCGAGACGCTGGGCTCCGCCCTCGGGCTGCCGTGAGCCAAGTGACAGGAGCAGCAGCTGTGGTACGCAAACGCCTGCCTGTCTGTCCCCTGCGAGCAGGGGTGAAGCTAGTTTTCAAAATGTACAGCAAAGCCACAGCAATTTTTAAAAAGTGGGTCTGAGTTAGTAATTTCCTATCCCATGATTAAATGGTGCTATGTGCTCACCCTGATCAGAGGCCTGCTTTCATACTGGAGCGTTTCCTATGGCTGCAGGGAGACGCTCGCCGGGGCCTGGACCGGCTAATGAGGATGGAAACATGCCAGGGGCCTCACGTGGCGGCGCAGGGTCTCCCGGCGGGCCGAGCTGCCGTGCGCATGGGGCGCCCGTCCTGCCCACATGTGGGGTCCACAGGCAGGCGTGGCCTTGGCCACGCCCACATCACTGCCTCTCCCCTATGTTGTGCCGACTTCCTTTCCACGACTGGACGGCCTGTGACCTGTGTGTGATGTGACCGGGAGCAAAGGTGCCCTCTGCACTTCTGGGTCCGACAGAAGCGCAGCCGCCCCACTGCGGCGCGTGCTCTGTGACGCTTGCTCTCAGCAAACAGTGACTAGCGACGTACAGGAGGGGCAGGACATGCAAGAGCTCGGAGACAGCCCTGCCCCGGGAGACACCCCTGCGCTCGGGGCTCCACGAGGTGGGCGCGCACAGGTCCGATTGGAACCTCCCTAATGGTCAGGCCCAGGAGGACTGGACCTCCTGACAGAGCGCTGCCTCTGGAGACGCGGCCGGACGTGGACCCTGCACGTGCATCCTCCCAGACCTGCGCTCCGCAAGGGCCAGTCTTTCGCTTGTTTCCTGCTGTAACCTGGCACCGAGAAGAACGTCTGGCACACACTGGGCAACCAGTACCCCCGCTGCTGACGGAATGGAGGATTGTCCGCTTGCTATTTCTTCAGGCTTCCTTCCCCTTGTGCTCGGTGACAAGGGGCTCCTGTGGTTCTGACACCCGAGGGAGCGGGTTTCCGGTGGGGAGTGGAAAGCTTCCATGTCACCTTCACCAAAAACCTCACAAACGCTTCCTCTCTCCCCACCCACCGCAGCACAGGCTGAAGTCAAATGACACTCGGCCCCCTGCGCGGCGCCGAGGCGCACGCGCCCACCCGCGCACCCACGCACCCATCTCCACGCGCGCGCGCACTTACGGGATTGCTCCGCATGGCTCCGCCCACCGCCCGCGCCGCCTTGGGGCTGCGCGCCAGGGCCGCCAGCTGCTGGTAAGTCACCACGTCCCCGAACTTCACAGCCTTCAGCAGCGTCCGCAACACCTGCCTGGTGAACGAGTCTGGAAGGGAGACGGCGGAAGGACGTTATTTGGACAAACGGCCCCTACAGCTCTGATATAAATAGCTGTCAGTCCCCAAACAGAAAACGCATCGACGCAGACCACAGTGCCAGACTCAGTTAAAACGCGGCCTCTACGCACGCTGCTGTCACCGTGTCACCTGGCATGGAGGGGCGCGCGGCAGGGCACGGAGCGGGCGGGCTGCTTTGCAGGCACCCCGGCGACGCATCGCAGACTGGCGACCCTCCCAGCGGCGCTCGTCTCTGCCCGACGCTCTCCCAGTTCGCCCGCACGTGTCCATTACCGCGCGGCGGCTCAATTAACAAGCACAGAAGGCCCTGCCCACTGCCTGCGGAACCCTCGGTGCTGCCGGGTCACTTCCAGCTTCAGCAGGGGCCCCGAAGGCAGCAGCAGCCACGGGGCGGGCTGCGAGGTTCCGCTCGCCGCCCACGTCCAGCAGCCGCAGGCTCAGCGTCCGGACACCCAGCACACGGGGCTGGCGGGGCCTTGGCTGCAGGCCTGTGCAAGGAGCGGGCTGCAAACACCAAACGACTGCATTCCTGCTCTCGCGCACCCGCCGCATCCGAGTGCGCTTGCCCTTCCTCGGGCTGCACGAGTGAACAGGTGAGCGCACAAAAGACCCCTCGTTCCGGCCGCTCTGGGGCGGCGTTGGCGGAGGGAAGACCGCGCCTGCGCGCGCCGGAAGCGGGTCCCTCGGCTTCGACACCTATTGTCTTTCCAAAGGGGACGCAGAGCTGCGTGCCCCACCGCGGGCACCAGCCCTCCAGCGGCAGGAGTTCCTGATGGCAACAACAAAGGAGTGTGCCCATGACTGCACCAATTACAGCCGGTGCCAACCTGGCAAAGTGCGATTTGGTTCTTAAAGGAAACACACCCTCACATGCGTGTGAAATAATAAAAATCGCTTCTTAACTGAAGGGACCGATAATCACTTCACTGGGAAAAAAATCTGTTTAGTCTTTATTATAACATTAAGCAAATTAAACATCAGCATAATCCAGGTGATACGAGAAAAGGGTCATCAAAGAAATTAACTTTGTTGTTCATTAATTTACATGGATTAGGAGAGGCCAAAAGATAGCAAATGTGCTCTAGTTTTTTATGATATAATTTCAAACTGTACACCGTTTGTGGCAGGAGGGTGACTTTGGGGTTAATCAGACTGATTTGTCCTTTTAATTGCTTTCTATTCAAAGAAAATTCATTAGATAATGTTCTCTTCAAAATTCATGAATCAATTTAACCGAAGGAACCATATTAACAGCTTTGGGTTCATTAGCACAGGCAGTTGTGTGCTTGCTGATTGCTGGGAGGGCTTCCTTAGGCAAACACACTCTGTTTACTGTGATGTCTTCAGAAAGGGTTTCAAAACCAAACTGTTAATCATTATTATTGTTGCTGTTGCTGTTATGCCTAACTTAAAAAAAAAAAAAGAAAAGAAAAGAAAGAAAAGCGAGGCTGCCTGGCGATAACTTGGAGGATGGCGATTTCAGGGACAGTTAGTTGTCTTGGAAAAGAAACAGTACAGCAACACATCCACCCTGCGAGAAGCCGGGGCCAGTTTCCCAGGTCCCCCGGAGAGCACGAAGTTGTTGCTGTCTGTTTTCCGAGTTCTGACCCAGGAAGAGGATGCTGCCTGGGTTTCCCAGGAGGATGCCCTGGAACTTTACTGAACCTGTCGGAACACAATGAGAGGTGTGTGCGCAAACCCTCCTGGAGCATGAATAGTCCCCAGGAGCCCGGGGCACCTCTCCAGCATGGTCGTCTGCGTGCCAGCCTCGAGTGCCATGCTGACAAATTACTGTCAGATTACACAGTACCTTTCTTTCCGAGTGTAAAAGTACCGTATAATAAAACAATTATACATCCATATATGAGCGCAGAGTTTATCAAACAGTTTCAGCTTCACTGTCAATTCTTCATGGGAAACCACTTCTCACCTGGTACACACCAGGCAATATATTAGGTAAAATAGCTCAAGGAAGGCAATATTTAGCAATCAAGCACACCATTTTATAAATGTATCTGAAAACTCAATTTCACCCTGTAGGGAGCAAATGCAGTAATTAGTTTAAGCAGCTTGCAGAGACGGCGCTGTTAACCCCAACCCGCACAAAATCGGACACTGAAACTGCACCCATATTCAAGGAGGTAGCTGACGCTTAGGTTGTTAAATATCATTCTAAAATGCAGTAAAACCTGCTCATAAAAACTAACATACTGCGATATTTTCTTGAGGTTGAGGTGACCATATAAGTCCTCAGTGGCCAGACCATCATTTAGGTGGCCCCAAGGGGCACTATTAAAATACGACTCTTTTCTTTCCCATTATGCCACTGCCCTCTCCTCCTCATGAATCCAGGCTCTGTGTGGAGCGGCCTCCACAGGCCACATTCCGGAAGGTCCTTTCCTTCCCCCCGTCCTGTCCGCCTCATCCTTTCTCTGGCCTGGGCTGGGGTCTGGCTCCTGCTGGTCATGTTCACACTGTGGGGTGTGGGTGTGGGGGGGACAGGCTTTGCTGGAGGATGGACTGCTTCCCAGAGTGCCCAGATCTTAAGGACATGGCCATAGGGCCATTTTCATCGGTCTGGGTGGCTCCTTAAAATTGTGACCCACTGTGACCACCGAATCCTGCAAATGCTGTTTTCTAAATTCTCTCTCTGCCTGGAGTGTATGTCACCAGCCAGGAGGTGATGGCACTGTTTCCCAACACTGGTCCCAGGAGACGTTGTCCTATGTCATAGACACCAGGATTTTATGTGAGCTCTTTTCATGCCACGTGTGGGAGTGGACATCGGGGCAGCCCTCACTCACAGCTGAGTGGGGCTCTGATGAGAAAGGACTATGTAGACACCACATGCCAGGAGCAGGGCTCGGGGACCACCCAGGGGCCCAGGCAGACAGAAAAACCGCAGCTCCCCTGGGAAAAGAATCTACAAATGCCAAAACAGAGATGACACCAAAGTCGGAATCACCTGACAACTTCTAGCACCAGCTTTCTGAGGTAAAATTGGCAAATAAAATTGTAAGATCTTTAAATTGTACAGCATGATGACTTGATATACATCACCTGACAACTTTAAAGGATCTGTAATAAAAATGCTGCAAGAAGGGAAAATACCCTTGAAACAAATGAAAAGACACAGGATTACAAAGATGAATCAAATGGAACTTAGTAGTGAAAGATAAAATAACCACAGTTTAAAAACTGCACTGCATGGGCTTAACAGCAGAATGGAGAAGCCAGAAGAAAGACTTAATGAAACTGAACACCAGCCAATAGGAATCACCCAATCTGAAAAACAGAGAAGAAAATGTCAAAACAAAAATCCAAAGAGACTGGAGGACACGCGGGACAAAGCCAAAATGTCTAACACTTATATTATTGGGAGTTTCAGAAGGAAAAGAAAAAGAGTGTGGTGTAAAAAAAAAAAAAAAAAAAGCTAATAATTTTCCAAATTTGGCAAAAGATATACAACTACAGATTTAAGAAGCCTAACAAACTGCAAACTGGATACACTCACAGAAATCCACTCCTAGACATATCGTGATCAAACTGCTTAAATGTACATACAGAAAACAAAAACAAAAACAAACTTTAAACAAATGGAGAAAAATGCTGCATTATTTATAGGGAACAGTGAATGATATGAATGACTGTAGACTTCTCATTAGAAACCACTGAGGCCAGAAAGAAGTGAAACAGCAACTTCAAAGTGCTAAATGAAAAGAACTATCAACTCAGAATTCTATGTCCACTTTAAAAAAAAAATCCTTCAGAATGAAGTTAAAATAATGACATTTTCAGATTAAAAAAAAAAAAAAGAAACTAAGATAATGCATTCCCAGCAGACTCAAGCTAAAAGAATTGCTAAAGGAAGTTCTTCAGCGTGAAGGGAAATGCCACCAGAGGGAAGCTTAGAATATAAAAAATACAGGCAGAACAAAAGAAATGGTAACTATCTGGCTAAATAGCACAGACTATTCTTTAACATATGTTTGATGATTGAAAGCATAATCAAGGCATTGTCAGATAAGATTTTCAATGTACGCAGTTGTAAAACATATGTCACTATGACATCGAGAAGTAGAATAAAGGATCTATATGGTGGTAAGATTTCTACATTCTGCTTTAAGGTGGTAAAATATTGATTCCAATTAGACTGTCAAAGTTAAGTACTGTAATCCCTAGAGCAGCGGTTCTCAACCTTCCTAATGCCGCGACCCCTTAATATAGTTCCTCACGTTGTGGTGACCCCCAACCATAAAATTATTTTCGTTGCTACTCTATAACTGTAATTTTGCTACTGTTATGAATCGTCATGTAAATATCTTTTTGTTTTCTGATGGTCTTAGGCGACCCCTGTGAAAGGGTCGTTTGATCCCCAAATGGGTCGCGACCCACAGGTTGAGAACTGCTGCCCTAGAGCAAACACCAGTAAAACCATAAAAAGAGATAATTATGGTCAAAAACTAAAACAGAAACTAAAATAAAATACAAAAAAATGTTAAAATAGCAGAAAGGGAGGAAGAAAAGGGGAAAGAAAAATGAAAAAGAGGGGGAAAGACAGAAAACAAATAATAAAATATTATGTAATAATAATAAAATAAAATATAACTACTAAGAATAATAAAATGGAATGTTATGTTTATATCTAAATCCAATCATGTTAATAATTACATTAAATGTAAATGGTCTTAATTATACCAATGAAAAGATAGTGTGTCAAGATGGATTAAAAAATAACCCAAGTATGCACTGTCTAAAAAAATTCACTTCAAATAATAGATGTAGGTGGGTTAAAGGTAAATGAATGGGAAAAGATATACCATATAAGCACTAAACTAAAAAAAGTTAATATCAGACAAAGCAGACTTAACAGCAAAGACATTTTTCAGAGGGTGATAAAAACTATTACATAGTGATGAAAGGGACAGCTCACAAAGATGGCATATTAACCATAAATGTTTATGCACCT